TTAAAGAAGTCGACAATATTTTTATGTATTACTAAGCCTTAATCAAAAAAAGTCTAAATATTCTGATTCCAATGTAGTTGAAGGACAAGTTGGAGGTTTGGCAATTTGAAAATATTCAGTCTCCCCCCACCCCATGTTTTAAGCACCAGCCGGCCATTGCTATGGTGAAGTGATCCCCATTCATTGAGCTGGCAGAAAACTGTACAGGTAATCCTGAATTTACAACCATTATTGGGACTGGAATTTCCATTGCTCAGTGATACAACTGTAAACTGTGACATCTTGTGACCATATTGCTTAGACCATATTGGCAATCCCAGAATTCCTATTGCCACCCTTAACTGAATCCCATCCTTCGTTAACCAAGGTCATATCCCAATCTAAATCGTTCTGGGCTTAGCCCTCTCAACTCCAAACCTCAATTCTTTGAAGGTAAGGTACTGTCTTTCCTTCATTTCATGCCAACTGCCTGCACCTTCCAGTCTCTGCTCTTCTGGCCATCCTCCTGCATTTGCCTTGTACGGTGGCAAGCAGCTCCAGAACCACGCAACTCTGCAGATGCTTACCATGCTGCAGCTCAATGGCTTCTTGACATGCCATCGTTCTGGGGCTGCAAAAAGCCCCTGAGCTGCAACCCTTTGCAGCATGGAGCCCAATCCCAGCTGGACCCGTCAGTGTATCACAAAGGCAAAGTTGCATCCACACCAGCCTAATCCTGCACATGACCACCCAGTTGACCTTTGCCATATTCTCTCTTCTAATGAGATATGTCCTGTCTGGCTCTGCTCTGCAGCTGCTGGCCATCTTCTGCAAATCCCGTAAGGAAATTACCATGTGCAATCTGGGAAGAAAGTCTTGTAGGCCCAGCAGTTGCCTCTCCAAGAGTCAGTCTGGGTGCACCTTGTCGGTGCAATCTTTCTATGTTCTTCAACGAATATGGGAGATTGAAAAAGCACGAAAAAAATGGAAATTGCTTATTGAAGTACTTTGAATGGGTACAATTCTTGGTAAAAGTAATCAGAGTTGTCAAAATCCCATACTGCCATCTAGAGGACAAGGAGTATAAAATCATGTTCCAGTTTCCAAATTCAATAAGGTTAATCTAATATCATTCATTTAAAACACAAAATACTTTTTTTCCCCAAACAGGCTCCACATTGTTTTATTGAACCGATTTGACATGATGCAAGTGTAAATGTGTGTCTTTCATTTCAATGAAGATATTCATCATCACTAAATACTATTAGCAGTCATTTAAAAGGAATGAAGAAATGTTCAATTTTTGGTTAAACCTTGGGAGATATTGTATATGTAGTATAAAAATCACTTAAATGCTGAAAAACTTTGCTCTTGTATTCCTTACACTAGCATTAGAAATAACATCCTTGCTTGTCTTTAATCCTTTAATTATACAAAATAAATATACATCTCATTATATAATATACAGCAAAATACCAGTTAAGGTCACAATATAACAAAGTAAGAATGCAAAATATCCCATAAATCAATATTATGAAAACCGTATTTTAACCAAAACACTTTACAGTTAGAAAAAGTTATTGAAGAGAGAAACTGTCATTTTGCTCCTTTGGATTTTTTGAGATTTCCCAATTTGCAAACTTATTTTTTAAAAAATTGGAACAGCAGGAGAATGCCACTCAGAAATTACCAGTACCATAGTAGATATTTCAGTATTTCAGTTACACTCCTGTTGGTTTAAGAATATAACCCACCCTTCTATTTTCAGGGTTCCCAACAAGGCATTTGGAAGGAGGCAATCTACTTCTGGGCATTTCTCTTAGTGCCCACTAGATGCCCTGCCTCCCAGATTGTTTCTGTTAAAGAAAACTAGTTTTATAATGGAAAGCTAGCATGCTGGAAAGCAAAGGGCAGCTCCCCTCATTCTATGCTGCATACAGCTTGTTCAAATTCAAGACCCACAGGGTGTTTAGATCTGGCCCATGGGGCCGCCCTGGAAACAGCGAAGGACCAGCCTGTGGTGCCTCTGCCAGTGAAAATGGGCTCCCAATCTCTGTTTTCAGCTTGGAGGGCCTCCGGCAACCCTCTGTCAGTGAAAACTGAGCTCGGGAGTGCCCTCCCGAGCTCCGTTCTTGCTGACAGAGGGTTGCAGGAGGCTATCCCAGTCAAAAACGGAATTGGGACCCCATTTTTGCTGGCAGAGTACCCAGGCCACCACAGGCTCCTGACACAAGTGAGGTCAAGCTGGCCAAGCCCTCCCCCGAGGTCAAACACTTTCCTGATGTGGCCCTCAATGAAATTGAGTTTGACACCCCTGTTCTATTTCCATTAACTGGGTGTTCTTGCAGATTGTTTAGGAAAGTCATTCTAATGTGAGAAAGGAACAGATTGCTTCTTGATGGAATGAATATTATTTTCCCTTCATCTCCAGCTCTCTCAGCTGGACTATTTTGCACCTTTTTCAACAGCCAATTTAACTTTTGCATTTCAGAGAAAGAAAAAGAGACACATTACCACATTCCAGCTATTCTTTTCACAGGCAACTAACCGAACTTGTGCTTTCTAATCACCCGTAAGAAGGCTAGCAGAAATATTTAAGACTTTCTTTGAGATGAAAATGCATATCAGTGGATCACATATCAATTCTAATCCATGACATCTGTTGAAAATGCATAATGCCTCCTGATACAAATTAACTTGTCATGCACTTTGTATTAACAGAGGACAAGAATGCTGTTTTGTGTTACACTCCATATTTAAATTAATTCAGCCACATGTAAAATGATATGGTATCTTCAAAAACAATTAGTCTGAACATTGTTTGAATGCTAGAAGAATCTGTCATTGTTGTGGTCTCCTATATTCAGGTTTTTAACCTTTTTAATATTTTCTTAATTTTGGGAGGAAAGTTTGGGTAAGTTCTTATAAAAAACAAACTGAATTAAAATCTCATGCACACCTGTTCTGAGGTAGTTCTTATGAAACAAATTCAAGAGGCTCACAAAATAGTTTTTTTAAACAATATGTTTAAATATTTACTACATTTTAATATTATGTATAAAATGAAAATAAGAATATATGTAAGAGGTGAAGTACTGGGCTTCACTCCACTAAGGACTAAATTGCTTAGTCACTGAGATAATTGTATTTAAAACTTTCTATTCTATTCAAAATAAGTATTTGTTGGAAGGTCCTGCCTCATACTAGTGCCTCATACTAGTGAAATACTTTGAACAACATTTCCCAAATTTGACTGGAGTTATGGCAGTTGCAATCCAACAAATCTGGACAGCTAAAGGAAGTCTGCATCAGAACAGCATGTTGGGATATGCTGGGCACATGACAAAAACAAACAGAAGAAAAGGGAAGAACTTGCAAGGATGCAATCCTCCTTGGTAAGTGTTTAATTTACAGGGAACAACTGAGCCAAAAAAACATCTTGATGGAAAGTGACCCGCTCAGTCAGTTTTCAAAACATCGCTCTTGAGAAGAAATATGTATGCAAAAACAAAACACAGACCTGCCTGAAAAAATGTACATTGAAAAAGTTCAGCCATTCCATATTTCAATTATCACTCCCTGCACGCTTTCGGGATAAGAATGCAAGCTACTCTGCACCTCATCTTGTACACCAAGCACTCCGGCGACCTTGAGGTTGGGGTTTTTTTTTAGTTGAATATGAACAAACTTCTCCAGGAACAGGAAGTCTAAAAAGGATGGTCCCTCAAGACAGGAAAGCATGTGAATATCTTAGAATTGAATCTGGCACAAATCTGCAGAAGCTGATTGCTCAATGCACAAAGAAATACAGATACTGTATAAGTTATAAAACACTGGAGTGGGTGGGAGGGATTTTGGTATCTTAGCTCCTAATTAAAATAAGTCATGTATTAGTGTGTTTCTTAAGCTTAGCAACTTTAAGATGTGTGGAGTTCCAGGAATTCTGGGAGTTGGAGTCCACACTTCTTAAAGTCAAGGTTGAAAAACTGCTCTACTGAATGTTTGCACAGATCTATTATCTGAAGTCACCAAGGGTGGGTTTCAGCCAGCATTACTGCCGGTTTGCTCGTGCATACATGCATGTGCGGTTCAATGGAAATTGTTCTGCGCATGCGCAGAACTAAAAAAAAAAAGATGGTGGCGGCAACGGTGGTGACCAGGGAACTGGTTTGGGGGTGTGGCCAGCCAGGGGCGTGGGCAGTTCTGTGATCCAGGCTGGCATTCCAGTACCAGTTCGACTGAACCGGGCCAAATGGGTAGGAGCCCACCTCTGGAACCCACCAAAGCAGAGACTGCAACATCCCCAGCCTACCCACCTTTTGGCCTGAGCAACATCAACAACATTTATAGTTGTATTAAACTGCATAGTTTGCATAGTTGCATATAACGCCTTTATTTCAGCTGATATATATGTGCAAGAGCCTTCCAAACTGTCTACATCAGTGGTGGGATTCAACAATTTTTACTGCCAGTTCTGTGGCTGTGACTTGGTGGACGTGGCATAGCTTGGTGGATGTGGCAGGGGAAGGTTACTGCAAATCCCTCATTCACTCCAGATCAGCTGGGACTTGGAAGGCAGAGAATAGATGAGGGCGGGGCCAGTCAGAGGGGGTATTTACCGGTTCTCCGAACTACACAAAATTTCCACTACCAGTTTTCCAGAACTGGATAGAACCTGCTGAATACCACCTCTGGTCTACAGGTACTCCTTGATTTACAATAGTTCATTTAATGACCGTTCAAAGTTACAATGGAAGTGAAAAAAGTGACATGACTATTTTTCATATTTATGACCATTGCAGCATCCCCATGGTCATGTGATTTACATTCGGATGCTTAAAAACTGACTCACATTTATGATAGTTGTAGTGTCCTGCGGTCATGTGATCCCCTTTTGTGACTTTCTCACAAGCACAGTCAATGTGGAAACCACATTCACTTAACAACTGTGCTACTAATTTAACAACTGCAGTGCTTTACTTAACAAATGTGGCAAGAAAAGTCATAAAATGGGACAAAAGTCACTTAACAACATAAATTTTGAGTTGAATTGTGGTTGTAAGTTGAGGACTACCTTTATACCAATCATCCAGAACTTGGCTTTCACAACTTAACACTATAATAAGTAACCTGACATTTTACAGTGAAAAAAATGAAGCCAGGTTTATCAGAGATCTAACAGAGAAGTATAAATAACAGATTCAGCTAGCTCAGGGGTATCAAACTCAATTTCATTGAAGGCCGCATCACGGTTGTTTGATCTCGGGGAGGCGGGGGGGGCATGTCCAGCTATACATTACTCAAGTCATGGAAGCTTGTGGCTGGCCGAGTGCTCTGCCAATGAAAACCAAGCTCGGGCGGGCTATGCAGGTGGGTCTCCCACTGTTTCCATGGCAGCCCCATGGGCCAGATCTAAGGACCCCTTGAGTTTGTCACCCCTGACCTAGCTCATTGGACAGAAAGAATGGCTCAGTATGCTATTAGAACAAACTGTCAAATTCTCTGGAAAGTAAGCCTTCTTATGACATTGCATGGTGGCCAAGAACCAGGCCTGTTAGGAAACGGTTATAACATTCAATTCAACCATTGGGGACTTCTTAACTTTCTTTTCTTTCATTATTTGGTGAGACAGTGTGCTTAAAAACCACTCCAAATCTTGATGGTCTTCTGGCCATCTCAAGTACTGCCCCCTTTGCAAAAAGATCCTGATTGGTTGATATTTCATAAGCTGATATTGAGAGAGAGATCCAGCTACCACCATTATGAGGCAATCCTCCAGATCTGAGAAATACCTGCTCTGGGCAAAATTAAAGGCTTCCACACACCAGCCATCCTTGAGAAACTGTCTTGTGACCACGCAAATTGTTTTCCTACAGTTCCAGACAGCATCATGAATACAACTGATATGATCCTCCCCAGGCAGGAAATCTCTGTCTTCAAAGCAAAGGGCAAATCTGTTCTTCTTAGAATACTGAGAATCTAGATGCTTTATCAAGGAACTCTGGACCCACTCAAAGTCTTTGCTGCTATAGCAAAGGTAAGCATCATACTTGCGTCCTTGTTGATCCAGTTCTGGTGGGAGCTCCTTCATGAGGAATTGTGTGAGTGTTTTATACCAGAGGAAACAAACTCCTCTAAAACGAGTAAAAACAACTACTGCTACTAGAAACACAGTTATACTAACACAGGTAAAAAGGAAGAGTGACAGCTGCAGAGGCTCCATGAGCTTATGTTCATTGCAATTCTCTGTATCTAAGTATTGGAGAGGAACACCAGCAAACTGCGGTGGTCCAGAGCAAAATATATCATTGCGTGAGCCATCTAAAGTAACATTGGTTTGGTTTAGCCACAAAATAAAGTTGCTTAATAGGCAGTCACAGTAAAATGTGTTATGGGTAATATCCAGCTGGTCTAATGTTGCAAAGAGCTGAGGATCAGGGTAAAGTAGCTGATTTGATGACAAATCAAGAACTTTCATGTTTGTAGGAAAGGTATCTTGAAAAAAGGAAGTCAACAGGTTGTTAGACAAGTTAAGCGTCTTGAGTGACTTTAGCTCACTAAATATACCCTCTGGGATGAAAGCAAGGTAGTTGTCATTGAGATAGAGAATTTCCAGGTGGGAAAGTGCTTTGAACACATCCAAGCATAAACCTCTCTCCCATATAAGCTTCAGCATGTTGTCTCCAAGGTCCAAGTAAATCAACTCATTGTCTTTTGCTATGTCTTTGTATTTGAAGCAATAGGATAAACGATTGTTTTGTAAAGCAAGATACTTCAGGGCTGGAAATTGGAGAAGTTCATAGAGATCACCCAGATTCCCCAATCTGTTTCCTTTTAAGTTGAGGAGTGTGGCATTTATAAATTGTATTTTCCAATAAGATGTAGTCTCTATCCGGTTGTCACCTAGCAAAACATTGATGAGATTTGGGAGAGAATCTATTACTTTTAAGGCGTTATCCGTGAGATCCACTTGTTGAAGCTTTGGTAAGGATTTGAATGGATCTCTATCAATCACTCCAATGTGATTATGTTTTAGATCTATCTGAATCACATTAGGAAGACCTTCAAACGTGTCCTTAAAGAGCTCACCAATCAGATTGTTTGATAAGAATAGATACTGCAGATTCTGAAGACCAAGAAATGCTCCCTTCCCAATTTTATTTATTTTATTATTGTTTAGATTCAGTAGCTTCAAATCATGGAGATATCGAAATACTTGTGGTTTAAGAGAAAAAATCCAGCCGTTTGATATATCAAACTCAATGATGCCACTGTCCTTAAGACCTGCAAATGTATTAATATCAGGATCAGGAAGATTATTAAATCCAAATGATGCGCCCATACCATGATAAGACATATTCAAACTCAACAGTGGGAACCCTCTAATAGCTGCACAAAATTGCCCTGTTAGAGTTGCACTCCAGCCATTACCCCCAATGTTCAGTGTTTCTATGCTAACATTTTTTAAAGGATTCCCACAAGTAGCCCAATCCACAATACTATTATATATTTTAGTAGAACGAAGACTAAACCATTTGAACCTTGCTATTCGGAAATTATTAAGATCCCCTTCACAGATAGATGTAATAGGGTTTAATTCCAAGTCTAGACTGTTCAAGAATTTCATGTTATAAAATACACTGTGAGGGCGAACACGCGTGATTCTATTATATTTGAGGTCCAGATATTTCAATGAAATCAAATCTCTGAGGTAATCCTCTTCCAGAATGGATCCATCAAGATTATTTTGATACAGTAAAAGAGTATTGACTCTAGACAAGCCCACAAAAGCATCAGGGTCTAACAGCATCATTTTGTTGTCGCCCAAATCCAATTCTTTTAGGTTTGGCAAGTTCCTAAAAGCATCTTTTCCTATGGTTAAGGGAAAGCGTTTTTGTGTTCCAAGGTATAAAAACTTTAGTTTCTCCCTCAGAGGGAAAGAGGTTGCATTAACTCGTTGGATGAAATTGAAGTTTAGGGATAGAATCTCAACATGTTCAGGCACAGGTGGCACCCAAGTAAGATTGCAGAAATCGTAGTAGGCTATCGTCTCTTCCACTGAACAGCTACGAATTGCAAGTGTTTCTCGGCACACAAGCACTGTTCCAATAAGAAATATCATGTAGTGGCAAAACATCGTGCTCTCAGTCTGTGCCTGGAAGAAAAAGATGAGGGGGGAAAAAAAGCATTATCATTTGCCTTGGACCACAGAATATGAATTAAACATAACAACACAGGTTATATAGAGAGATCAAAAGGGAAGCCTCCAGAGGGTGAAAAATGGCCAATAAAGCCCAAAACTCAGCTGGCCTGTGCGCTGGAGTTGACAAGGCAACGTCTTGCATGCCCTCAGAAATGGCTCCGCGTGGCACCTGTGGCACACCTGCCATAGGTTCACCATCACGGTGCTGGGGCCTCATTTCAAAAACAAAAAGAAGAACAAAACCACATTTGATTTATTTTCATTATAATTTAATTTGAATTAGATGCAGCAGTTATTCTCCCCACCAGTTTGATATTTTTTTCTATTTCTGATGCACACAAGGTTGCACAAAATTGTTGACTTTTCAAAGAGCCTAGAGATCTATATTGAGGACTTCAAGGAATAACATTTAACTCTGGAAACAGAGATTGTGGACCTGTATTTCAAAGTATAGTTGTTATTTGTTATGTCCAGGCATTCTGAGCAAGTAATGCCTAGGAGAAAATGTAACTCCAGGATGTCCTAACTATAAATCACTTTGATTAACTTCCTAAGTTCGCCAAAAAGCCACTCAAGTCGCCCAATATTTATTAAATTGTATTTGGTTTTGCACAATTCACAAATATTTATACCTATCTAAACTTTATTTACTTATTTGGTGGATAAACAAGATAAATGGCCTTCCATGCAAACACCATAGCAGGTTATAAAGCTAAACAAGTGTAGTAATTTAATAGAATACAACTAGGAAATCTGAAGGCTGAAGACTAATTTGTGAAGTTATAAAAACATCCTAAAACACGGGTGTCAAACTCGCGGCATCACGTTGCCATCATGTGACGTTTTGTTTCTTTTTTCACATTCACAGAGCTGGGGTGGGTGTGGCTTTGTGTGATGCATTTGGCTAGTGGGGCGCCAGTTTGACACCCCTATAAAAGATGGCAACAACAACCCACTTCTATGCTATTGCCAAGAACATATTCATGGAGTCACTAGGAGTCAGATTTTTATTTAAGGGAAATATGGCATTGTTTTCTTTTTTAAACTTTTGAGGGCATCTGCTTTTTTGTTTTGTTTTGTATTTGAATAACAAAGTAACAATGTTATTCTGTGACGACATCTTCTAGTCCAATCCCCTGCTCAAGCAGGAAATCCTATGTTGTTTCAGACAAATGGTTGTCCAATCTCTTCTTAAAAACCTCCAGTGTTGAAGCACATCTGGAGAAAAGTTGTCCCACTGATTAATTTGGTTCTTCCCTATCAAAGCATAATCCCAAGACTCCAGGGAGATTTCTAAATTCCCAATGCTTTCGCACCACCGACCCTTTCCTGATTTGAAAATAGTTTTTTTTTTCTTCCTCTGTTTCTTTCTCTTTATGAGATATCATTTGTTGGAAGGTGGGGATAATCAGAATCACTTTTTATGTACAACATTTGACTGTGAATCAAATGAACTGTTATATAATTTAAAAACAGAATTATTAATATGAACACTTAAAATTATAATTTAGGACACCTTCAGCACTCTTCCCTCTGGAATTAACTAGAAGGAGGTTCCTATTGACAGTTCTGATAATCCAGCCATTGCAGAGCCTTTATCATATATAATAATCATATATGATTATATCTTGCACTCTCTCAGTCTCTGATACAAATGAAAAGCGCTTTGAGGCTTTCAGCTAAAATTTCCAAATCTCCCTCCTTCAGCTCAGCCACACGTTTGCATATAAAGATAAAGGTAAAGGTTCCCCTCGCACATATGGGTAGTCGTTCCCAACTCTAGGGAGCAGTGTTCATTTCCATTTCAAAGCCAAAGAGCCAGCACTGTACAAAGATGTCTCCATGTTCATGTGGCCGGCATCACCAGACATGGAACGCTGTTACCTTCCCACCAAAGGTGATTTCTATTTTTCTACTTGCATATTTAACGTGCTTTCTAACTGCTAGGTTGGCAGAAGCTGGGACAAGTAATGGGAGCTCACTCCATTATGCGGCGCTAGGGATTCGAACCACCAAACTGCCAACCTTTTGATTGGCAAGCTCAGAGTTTTAGCCACCGAGCCACCGCATCCCTTTATTCGCATGTACTTTGCGTATACTAAACCTCTTAACCCACTTTGCCTTTTTCTGAGTGCCATCTTATCCATCTTTATTTCCTTGCAAGTTAGACAAAGACTTGCACAATTCATAATAACAGGAATCAAGTTGAAGCCTCATTCATGAGTTTTTACCTCTGTATGCAGGAAGAGACTTCAGGTCACAATTTCTTAGCAGAGAAGATGAAGGGGATCAAGAACTACTGTCTTGGATGCCAGTATATGAGGTGAGGGATTGTTTCTCATGATCTATATTCCCCTTCTCCATGGCTATTCTTAACAAAGCTTTGCCAGCCGAAATACAATTCAAGATTCCTGATTCCCAATAAACATTCACACATGGAAGGTATGTGTGATTTGAAATCTTTCCTAAAACAACTTAAGAGATTACACCACTGAAAAAATGAGTCTCCCCTCCTCCAAAAAAAACCTCTTATAAAAAGAGGAACATTTATGTTCTGCTCAGCATGCGAAACTGACAGCTTTGCAGAAGACCACAACAGATATCCAGCGGTACTGGAGTGCTACTAGCTTAATGCCCCGAAATGGGACTTGAGCAATCTGCAAATGAAGATGAGAGGCACACCATATGTAGCCAGTTACTTCTGTTTGTCCAAAGTCTTCAACCTTTGGTTAAGCAACAAGATAATTAGTACAATGTGTCCTCCTTGCTGATAGTGTTGTAGTTCGAATCAGAATGACAGAAGAATGACGTAGAATGACGTACATTATATGCAGATCTAAGTATTTAAGAATTAAACACAGCCCATTTTGAATCAAGGCGTGAGGTCATGCTATGTCATATCTGTGAGTTTCACTTTCTTTTACAGAGAGCTGTCTTCCCAGTTTCGTGTTTTTCCATCGTAGGGATGAAGAAATTTGCTTCACTAATATACCTCAATTCATAATAATGCTAATTTCACCAGACTTTTTAAAAATTGAACCCCCCCTTTCCCTTTTAGATTTCAAATAGGAATCACCTATTTAACATATATATCTGGGAACCTGCAAAGGGGGCAAAACATTCAAGAAGAACATGGAGTTGAAAATTGATCAGCAGGGAAAGGCTTAAGCAATCTTCACTCTCTACCCACTATGTTGCTTAAAATCCATGACCTGATAAGCTGATTTTCTAATTTTAAAAAGTGTCATTTGCATGTGGTATGCCTCGGGCTTACATTATAATAATCTTTTCTGATAAGAAAGTAAGTAATGGGAATTATCATTAAAGCATTCAAATTTGACAATAAAAAATGAGGAACATAGTCTGCTTTCTCTCATATCCAAATATATGAGGAAGAAAGTAATTTCTGTCTGAAAGCTTCTAATTTAAAAAAGATGAGGATAGAAGAAGAAAGGTTTTACATCCCATGTAGAAAGATCCATGGAATACATAATTTTTCTCATGTCTGCATGCCATGTCACTAATTCATTATAACTAGGAATTTACGAAATTTGTTAATACTTGTTGTGATATATATACTCGTTATATATTTCTTTTTTTCTTTCCTATATTCTTTTATTTTATATTTCTATTTTTTCTTTCTTTCTTTTCTATATTATTATCTATAATCTATCTCTACAATTATCTCTCTATCATCTATCTCTCTAACTATCATCTCTTTCTCTTTCAATCATATCTATATCTATCTACCTACCTACCTACCTACCTACCTACCTATCTATCTAATCTCTCTCTATGACAGGGGTGTCAAACTCAAGGCCTGGGGGCTGGATCCAGTCTGTGGAGCGGTTAGATCTGATCTGTAGGGCCACCCTGGAAACAGCCCATTTTTTTCTGACAGAAGTCTCAGGCCACCACAGGCATGCCTGACACGAGTGACGTATATCTGGCCACCTTCACTCCGCCTCCCAAGGTCAAACACAATTCTGATGCAGCCCTCAAATCGAGTTTGACACCCCTGCTCCATGATGAGCCATGGTGGCAGAGTGGTCAGAATGTAGTACTGCAGGCTACTTCTGCAGCAGTTTGGCAGTTTGAGTCTCAGCAGCTCAAGCCTTCCATGCTTCCGAGGTCGGTAAAATAAGGACCCAGATTGTTAGGGGTCATATGCTGAACATACACTGTAAACCACTTAGAAGCACTGTGAAGCAGTATATAAGTCTAAGTGTTATTGCTATATTATCTATCTATCTATCTATCTATCTATCTATCTATCTATCTATCTATCTATCNATCATCATCATCATCATCATCATCATCATCATCATCATCATCATATATTTACCATCTATATGCTATATTTATTATTTTTACGTATAACTCATGGCAGAGAACATATCCAACACATCTTCCTCCTCCTATTTTCCCTACCAGAACAGCTTCTGAGGTGAGTTTGGCTAAGACAAACTCACATACTCCCACTTTCTAGCCTAGTGCCTAGGGCAAATTGGTTATTCTTTCATCTTGTAAAAATCTGTATTATGTTTTACCACTGTAATAATAATCTTTGATAAAATAATTGTTATAAAAAGAAAATGGAAATATATTTTTGAGAAAGAGTATTTAACGTAGGTCAACTATGATAAAAAAAATTCACCCTTTTACATCAAGTAATGCTAGCAAACTCTTCCCAACTGTCTTAAAGCAGTGGAAATCAAGCAAATACTGACCAGGGTATTAATATAAAAGTAGAATATGGAAAAGCAAAATCAGTCAACAGTTCTTTTTAATCCCTTTTTAATCCCTTTCTATATTGGCAGATGATTCATAAACTGCTTCTGAGTTGCTTCTTGCTCACAAAGTTGCTCTGATAATCTCAGAGAGGAACAGGCAGCCATTCCGAAGGAGGACCAACAACTGGGAGTCAAAGGATTGCTTGAGATACTGTCAAGCAGTCAAATATGTCACCCACACATCAGAAAGAAAGCGGCAAATAAAAGAAAATGGATTTGCAGTGGGATTATTGTTATAATGCACCAGAACAAGGTTGAGACCTTTGACCCACAGTGGTTACTAGCTTAGAATTTCAGCAGGGCTTTTCTTTGAAATCATTACCAGTGATACAGGACTTATAAATTGAGGAGAAAAATATGTTGAGCTTTTTATGCTCTTTGTCAGACCAGCTTTTGGTGCCGTATCTTTGGTATGATGCCTATTTTATTTTTATGGATTAGAAACTTCTGCAACCTCAGAATGGCTGTGTCGTAATAGGCCAGGATGCGGTTTCATGACTCAGACATGGAATAGAATAGTGATTTTTTCGAATAGATTATTTTTCTGCAGTAACTTTGGTTCATGTGCTTCTTCTCTTGATGAGGAAAACCCAGAGGTGGCAGAACTACTTGGGAAGATTACATTTTAAATTTAAGGCCAGTAGCACACAATCATAATTTGGATGGGAGGCATTTATTAGACCAAACTTTGATAATTTTACCCAGAGCAGAAGAAAAGTCTCCCAGACTATCAACTGTTTACTGTTTTGCTTACAATAAATAGTTCCAATGCATTAGCCATTTGTGCTGGTTTAAACTTTGCCAAATTACATTTAACATTCTTTGAAAGGCATGTCCTCAATGATTAAATGGCAGCTTTGGTATTTTGCAAAAAAGGCCTTATAATTTGATCCCTCTGTAGCATTTTAGTTTCCAACAATACTGTATCATTAGAAAACAGGCAATTAAATCAGCCCATTTAATATATTTATATTAAATAAAGTGACATCATTTTCCAAAACAATAGTGTGATGTCATACTCTTCAGCAGTTAGACAGAGTAAAATACATCTGAAGAAGAATACATCTGTTAGATATAGAACAATGTGTTTTAGGATTATAGCAAGCAGTATTATTTCTGAAGAACTACTCAATATACAGTCCTGAAATTTAATCAGAAAAAGCTTAATTAATCCAGAACAAATTTATCCAAGTGGGAGTTCTCGTCCCAGTGTATCTGGAAGGTATCACAGTGAGGAAAATTGGAAAGCTCATTCTTGTTTCATTTAAGATACACACACACACACACACACACACACACACACACAGAGAGAGAGAGAGAGAGAGAGAGAGAGAGAGAGAGAGAGAGAGAGACATTCTGAGACCATATGAACCAAAGACAGTTTCCTTTTTCTTTACATTCACTGATTCTCAACCACTTGTGAGAGAGGGGAAAAAAATCTCCAAACCTCAGAAAGAGGGATGCTTTCAAGAAGAATGCTAAGTGGCTAGGACAGAAAAGAAACAATCCTGGTTGTACCCATCACATCGTGACTTCCTCTGGAGCATCAGTTTTGGTGATAGGCTTTAAGGAAAGTCTTAGGCTAGGCACCTAAGGATAAAAAAAGACAAGGTTCATTGTTAATGAGTAAAAAACAAAAAGAACATCCTTTAGAATCTATTCGTTTGAAGTGCTTCCCAATAAAGCCAGTCTGGATGTCTTTTTAGCTGCAATTCACAAATTTAATTATTTTTAAAAGGGTTTTTAAATCTGTAAATTAGCTATATTACATCTCCCATGTCTTTCTCAGTAAAACACGTATTCTTAATAATCCCTAAATTACTCTGGATACAAAGAAAAATGTTTTTTGCTTCAAAGACACCTCTCCTCTTCTTATTGTTCTTCAGAAAATGTTGGAAAGGATTTCCACTTAATGTTGTTACCACTGTTCAGTTTCCTTTAGATACAGCTGTATTTATATGATGTTGGCTTTTTACTGAGATCTTTCAGAAGTGCATGAACATCAGGTCAAGCGCTTCTGAACAGCAATTTGGCAGCTACTCAAGTTATATTTTTCATTTTAGCCAAGTATGGGATTTATTTTTGTCAAACAAAAAAATAGAAATGGGAAGGAAGGAAGGAAGGAAGGAAGGAAGGAAGGAAGGAAGGAAGGAAGGAAGGATGGATTGATTATTATCTGAAAATGCAACAGTTAGCTAGATGTCTATTGTATAATAAACACAAATTATTCATACAAATTTGACTAATGCACTAACTATATTAAATTTAGGACTATTCTCCAATTTAAGAAATCTTAAGCTGTGTCATGTATATGTATACGTATACGCATACGAATATGTATATATAGACAGACAGTATTAAACTAATTTTGCATATGAGTAAAACTACAGTTTTTCGGAAGTAAAAGGCAATTTATTTTTAGGTGTAGACTGGTAGCTTTATAAAGCAGTAACTTCTTATACAAGAAGTAAGATGCCCTTTCTAAAATTCTGTCTATTGCAGCTTTGTAAGCAATCAAAACCATTATTTTTAAAAAGTGTTTCACACAATGAATCAGAATACATTTAAATTTTCTGAAATATTTATCATAGCACTTCTACAAAGACATGTGAAGATAAGGATTTTGTAAGAAAGCCACTGCTTTAGCGGAACTCTGAGCTCACTGTATTTGTGATAACCAGAGCTGGTTATCAATCAATCAGAATATAGCTGGAAGGGACCTTATAGGTCTTCTAGTCCAGGCAGAAGACCCTATACCAAAACACCTGAGGGTAGGACAAGAAGCAATGGATGGAAACAAATCAAGAAGAGAAGCAAATTAGAACTAAGGAGAAATTTACTGACAGTTAGAACAATTAATCAGTAGAACAAGTTGCCTCCAGAAGTTGTGAATGCTCCAACACTGGAAGTTTTTAAGAAGATGTTGGATATCCATTTGTCTGAAGTGGTGTAGGATTTCCTGCCTAAGCAGGGGATTGGACTAGAAGACCTCCAAGGTCCCTTCCAGCTCTGTTATTCTATATATCATTTCAAATAGGTGGCTCCAGTCTTGGACTTCCAGTGATGAAGCACCTACAATTTCTGAAGGCAAGGAGTTCCACTGGTGAATTGTTAGCTGGGAGTAGGCAGAGATTCTGTAACAAGTACCCCCCCTCCCCAAAATCTGAGAATCTCAAGCTTCATTTTTATTTGTAGTTTTCAAACTGTCAAATTGAGATGAAATGCTTGAAAATGTGTTAAAAATCCTTTGGATGAAATTTTCAAAGCTCTCCATGCATCCATAACTGGCAGATACAGAAATAAAGTCTGAAAAAGGAAAAATTGTGCAAGCCTGCATATACTTGTAGAAATTAGAAAAAGGGTGCTTTTCTTGGTACAGAATTTAATCCAGGGTATAGACAATGCAAATAATTTGCCACACTGTATAGAAATCAAGAGGTTATGCAAATACATAGAAAGTACCAAATAAAGTGTAAAATAATTAGGATGTAGTTCAAATAAAAACTGTATTTTACACATTTGACAAGTCATTAAATATCTGTCTCAGGCTCTCGAAATAGAAATCAGTCTGAATCCAGAACTAGTTCAAGGGGAAAACGTGATTAATAATGGGAATTGATTTCCCACTTTTGAAGGTGGTTTTCTTTTCTTTTTTTCTGTTTATGTATAATGAGAGATCGGACTTTTCTTGTTTAAATGTTCCTAGTTCTAAATGGTAGGCTTATCTGAAAATTTCCTTTTTATAAATAAGTTGAATAATTGATTATGTGCAATCAAGCTAATATGGGCAATTTCTGACAACTGTAGTCCCAACATACATGGAGGCTGTTATGCAGGCATTATAATCCCTAACCAAAAGAAAATCCCCTCCTGACCTCCTTGCTAAGGTCGCAACTATATTATGATATGAAAGCATCAGCCGTGACATTCACAGCTATTGGCGATAAAAGGGTGGCATGTGTGATGCTCTTCCTTGAGAGCAAAACCTACACAGCCCAGAAGGAAGATGCTCAAAATTGAATTGGACATGCATGCAAGGATATCTATTTCCCAGTTCCTGCTGGGCAAAAGAGCTACAGTGTGTCAGTGTAGTCAACCAAGTAAAGACATATCATGGTCGCATTGGAGTCCGGTTTGGAGGAGGAGTTGGGACTGTCCAACGGGGATGGCATGTCTCCCTTGGAATGTTTGGAGAGGCCAGGGGCTGAGGACGATGCTGCCCCAGGCTCTCAGGCATTGGGAAAGATGGCTGACCGGATGGAGAAGTCCCATAACAGCATTACATAACTGTATTTTAGCATCCGCTCCAAGATCTGAAATGGTACATCACTTCCAACCCCTTAATTGTAATTCATATGCTAATATGATGGATGTGTCTTTATCATTTATCAGTGTAAAAGTTTGCCTTGCATCTTGAAAACATCACCTCTGATTTAACCAGCCCCGTGCAATATGGACAACACTGAACTGAATTCACATTGGCTGTGGTAGATATGCAGACGCCCTCTGTAAGTGGGGCAAAAAAACGAATTGTGACTGTAGGGCTAAAAAATGAACTATCCAACATATAGTGTCAGAATGCCAAAATAGTCTACAGTACAGACTTTGCTGGCTATGTCAAATGAAGCAAAAAATGTATCTGCAATCTAAATATATGTTTTTAATATTTAATATTTTGTATTTTTATCTCCTTATTTTTATTGAAATATGAATGTGCCATACAATAAATAATAACAAATCTTTGTCCTTACATCAAGGTGGCCTCTAGTCACATGCAAAGAAGATAAAAATCTCATTAACCAAATTAAGCATGCTAAAAGCCCCCCGGGAACAATAGACGCACACACACACACGCACACACATGCACACAGAGCGCTGATTAAATCCAATTCAAATTGGTGGATCCCTTTATTGGCTTCCTTCTTTTCACACATTAACCACACAGCTAAGATTGCAGGTCTCGGGAGAAGCTATAATTGTTCCCATATGCAAAAAGGGTGATAGGAATGCACTGTTTAATTAGACACCAATTAGTTTCTTGAACATGATTACCAAACTATATGCCAGGTACCTATTCACCAAATTTCAAACTTGAATGACGGAATAATTGACCCTGAGCAAGCAGGATTTTAACCACGATGATCCACTGTAGACCATTGCACAGTACTTCAACATTGATCTAGCAGACAAATATACAAATCTGGAATCCTACAGTAATGAGGAACAATTAGTAATCAACTATGACAAATATATATATATATATATTAAATTTTTTTCTAACAAGAGACAAAATCAAAGTGGACAATTGTTTCCCATAAATTAGAGTACATCAAATGTTTTAAATACTTGGGTGTAATACTTCAGACCTGTAGGAAATTATCAACTCAGGTCAATTATGCCATTTCTATTGCCCAAAACAGTGTACCAGAAATAACTAAATTTTAAAGGCAATAGGGGGCAAATTACATTCTAGCAGCAATCAAACTCCTATAGTTTGAACAGTTAAAACAGTTGCCCAAGAAGTAGTCTTTGACTTGAACCACAATTGGGATCAGAATTTCTGTCGCTAACTACAATCATATTACCATGGGGGTGGGACAATGGTCCTAACTTTCAGGATGACTTGTAAGTCATTTTTTCCAAGACCATTGTAACTTTGAAGTGTTGTTAAACAAAAGGTCAAGGATGCACACCTAAGGGGGTTATGAATTTCCTTAAGAGTTTGTTTGATACTCCAAAATGCAATTCTAATGCAGTCTTGTGGCTTAAAGTTAATGAAACAAATATTAAGGTTCAGATCTAGACCAAGTTTCTAATCTCAGTACTCAAATCATGTTTGACCCTACATATGTGGTGCTTCTGCTCTTGTTAGACAGCTACCAATCTTATTGACACTTTACCTGTATAGAAGAACTTCACAGTCTTTGACTTTCTGTTGAATATTTAGGACAATTAACCCTTGAGGAGGACAATTTAGTAAAAGAAAGAATTAGGGACATTGATTGCCCGGATGATTGTCAACAGTGCTGCCAAATCCTTTTACCAAATATTAGACAGATGCAAGCCTTCTACTGCAGGGTTATCTATACAATATAACCCTAAGCAAATATAGAAGGGCCTTTTCCAAAGCCTACTTTGATGCCCTCTCATCAACTCTACTAGCAGGAAGACTCCTTATTTACAGACTTTGTCCTTGTAGATTCAATGTGGGAGAAACTCTCACTCATGTCCTCCAATGGTATCCTTTTTATGATGCCACAGCCACAACATGGGCTTTGATCTCTCTAATTATTTCTACATTGGGGGGGGGGGTGTCATAGTGATACATTTTATGTTTATTACTTTTTAAGGGATGCTAACTCAATACTACTTAGCAAGTGGTCAAATATCTTCATCAATTATCATATTTTTGGGAGTATACCATTTTCCCTCAAAAAAGAGGGTGAAAATCTGGGTGCGTCTTTTACAATGAATACAGCATTTTTGGCCTACCGAAACCCCTCCACATTTGCAAAAATGGATGTGCAGAGGATTTGGGAGGCTTGCAAAGTGGGCCTGAAGGCTGGGGAGGGCAAAAATGAACAAAAAAC